CGGGGCTTCCCTGGTGGCGCAGTGGTTGAGAGTCTGCCTGCCAATGCAGGGGACACGGGTTCGAGCCCTGGTCTGGGAGGATCCCACATGCCGCGGAGCAACTGGGCCCGTGAGCCACAACTACTGAGCCTGCGCATCTGGAGCCTGTGCTCCACAAGAGAGGCCGCAATAGTGAGAGGCCCGCGCACCGTGATGAAGAGTGGCCCCCACTTGCCACAACTAGAGAAAGCCCTTGCTCAGAAATGAAGACCCAAAGCAGCAAAAATAAATAAATTAAAAAAAAAAATGTTAATCCATTTGGAAATAGCTCTGGAGCCATGTTGCTTGTGTTTGTCTGCAGTTAGCACTTTCAGCGCAGACAGAACAGTCTCTCTTACTTGTAAGGGAGCAGCGTGATGATGCATTAACCTGCTGTCCTAGTTCGGGCTTGCGGTTCTGTGCTGGCTGCTCTCGTGCATGGACACCGGAGCCCCCTGGCCCCCAGCTCTGGCTGGGGACGGGGTGAAGGGCACCAGCTTCCCCTGCACAGGCACATTTGGGCTCCAGCCCACTGGGGCCCATCATTGGACATTGGCACCTGCAGTATGTCACAGCTCCTAAGGATTAGTTACAGGGACGTTAAACTAAGTACTTTTAAATGCAAACGCCTTTGCAGTTGGGTCTTGGTCTTGTCAGTGGGGAAATACATTTTAAATTCCCCTTTAACATTTGGTGCCTTTGTAGGAAATGTTAGTCACAAACACAGAGGCAGCGTTATTAGTTAATCCATCTTGTAACTAACATTCAGCGTGTTCAGCTTCAGTGTATGGCTGCTCTGCAGCTCCGCGGGAGCATGGTTTGGAAACTGATGCAGCTCCTTTGCAGAGTTCTCACACCGTTGAGTAAGCCACACCCCACATGGGAATAGCAAGTGACGTCTTCAGGTGCGGCCTCAGGCTTCTCCTTGTGGCCGTCACCTCTGGGACCTAGCCTCGCTAGGTGTCTGTTAGGCACGGAGAGCACCAGCGAAGGTCCCGGGGGGGCATCCCTGCTCGGCCTGCCGCCCTGCCCGCCCCCCCAGGGCCTGTGGCCATCGCCGCTTCCTGAGGTTCCTGAGAGCAGGGCTTGCCCCATCTCAGGCTGCGCCATGTGCCGTAGAATCCCAAGTTGCAGCAAGTCCAGACGAGGCCATCACAAGGAAACCGCAGGCAGTATCCCAGCGACAGTGGGTGCAGAGACCCTCCAAGCAGCACCTCTACTGGGGGACCCGAGGTGGTTCGGCCACCCCGGTGAGGGCGTTGAGAGCGACCACGGTTCACCTGCAGAGAGGGCCCGGGAGGAAGTGCGTGGCCCCCAGGGCTGGTGCCCCACATAGCTCTGGGAGCTGCGAGGCCTTCGGAGGCACGAGGATTTGAGCTTAGTGGCCACAGCGCTTTTAGCTGGAAGGAGTCGGCTGACCGGCCACGTCAGTCTGATCATTTGCAGATGACAAGCAGGGGCCACACAGGCGGAGGCCTGACAGTGGTGTTAACAGTGATGGTTTTCGTAACTTCCCCTTCCTGTCAACTTTACTGTTTTCACAAAATGCGTACTTTCGTTGTAACGAGGGTGGAAACGCTTCCGTTGGGGCAGGAATGTTAAGCGCTTTACACGCTTTTCATTTATTCTAGAGGCTCTGACACTTAGTGTTTGAGGTTTAGCCACTGAGAGGCTTCAGCGTTCACACACGTTCTTTACATAGGAAAACGCTAGTGTGTTTCTCCTGTGAGATTGGCGTTGTCTGTCGATGCAGCACTGACGACTCAGTGACCTCGAGGCCCTGAGCACCGGCGGCTGCCGCCCCGCTGCACAAGGGCCCTCAGGAGGGGCACATGGCTCTGCCCGGAGGAGGACCTCGGGCTGCAGGCCTAGCGACCGGTGACGCGTCCGTCTCCGTCAGTAGTAGGCAACAGTAAGGCGTGGGTGTCAAACCTGCGATGTCAAGGGTCTTGTCACAGAGGGAGGCAGCTGTGGGCGGGCCGTGTGGGAGAGGACGCACGCGAGGTTATGAAGGTGCCTCCTCGTCCGTGTAAAGAAAGGCTTGAGAAAACACGGTGTGAGTTTAGGAGTGCTGCCCGAACACCCTGCCCTCCCCTTTGCTTTGCAAACACGAAGGTCAGGGAGATGACAAAGGCAAAGCAGCATTTGAGCTCCTGTTTGGCGCCACTTCTCTCAGCGACGGGCTCCTCCCTGATGCCACTCTGAGTCCCCTGCGAGGTGGGCGGACGTGGTGCTAATTACCCACGGCTCTGAGCTTCCGGGTAACACTGAACTTTGTTCATCCCGTCTGCTGTCCCAGCAAGATTCCAGGTGATGTGAGATTCAGTCAACATTTCCTGGACCAAAGCCCTTACCTGCATTAAGATTAGAGGGAAGGAGGGCTTCCCTGGTGGCGCAGCGGTTGAGAGTCCGCCTGCCGATGCAGGGGACGCTGGTTCGTGCCCCGGTCTGGGAAGATCCCACATGCCACGGAGCGGCTGGGCCTGTGAGCCATGACCGCTGAGCCTGCGTGTCCAGAGCTTGTGCTCCGTGGCGGGAGGGGCCACAGCAGTGAGAGGCCCGCGTACTGCAAAAAAAAAAAAAAAAAAGATTAGAGGGAAGGAACTGTAAGAGGGTGATGGTCTCACCTGAAAGAGGAAAGTGCTTGATGCCGGTGCTCTGTGTCTGCACATCACCGCACGTAGGAAGGGACATCAGTGCATCGCAGACACGTGACTTTGTCCTGTTTTCTTTCCAAAGGCTTCTTAGATCCTGAGAAGAAGCTTTTTTCACATCGAATATTATCAAGGGACGAATGTATTGACCCGTTTTCCAAAACGGGGAACCTTAGGTATGTACCTGGCTGTGCGCATCGCTGAGGTCACCGTTCAGTTTCTGTTGTAAAGTCTGCATTTTGAGCATCAGGCCAACCGTTCTGTATTTATTCTCCCGGTTACCAGCGTCCACTTTCTGGCACGTAGCGAGTCTGCTGTCTTCTAACCAGACCCCTCCCTTCCCTGCTCTCCTTGAATGTCCAGGCAGTGGTGGCTCCTGGGGCACTTGGGCCAGAGCCCGGGGCGACACGGGTGTCGGCAGAGGAGTGAGACCAGGGCCTGGGGGATGCGTGGAGAGATAGTCTGGGCGGCCCAGCCCCCAGAGCCTCCCCAGAGGGTGAGGGGGCTGTTTGGCCTAGTCGGGAGTTTTAGGGGGTGTTGGCACCTCGGGCTTCTGTTTCCTTAAGACCTGAGTGCTGTGCAGCGTACAGTCAGTTATCAAATCCTAAGTCGTGCTACTCTGCACTGGCGCTCGGCCCGTTTCCACGTCCTTTCGTCCCCGTGTGCCCCTTCCAATGCGGGTCTGTGTGCTGTTACACCAGGGCTCCCTCCCACCCCTCCCTGAGGGCTGATTTATATTCTTGGGAATTTCCTGCTCACTCTGTACAAGGAATTTTCCCATTTCTACCCAGAAAGGTAGCCTCCCCCCATTATGTCCTATATCAGGTATAACTTTCTTCATGGCTGTTGATTCCTAAGACTTGGACAGTAACAGCTGTGGCCTCAGTGGCCTTTTGGCTGGCGTTGGCCGCCCTTAGCTAACATTTCGTGTTTCAGATTTAGGGTATCCACACAGACTGAGACCCGTTCACCTCTATGGGATACAAGAAGAGAATCAGAGTACTTGTTTCAGAAACAGTTCTTGTGTTTACTGGTTAGGCATCCAGACGAGCAGATACGAGGACAAAGGAAATTGAGGGAGGTGTGATGACTTGTTCGAGGGAAAACCTACCCGAGGCTGAGCGTGTCAGAGGAGAGGGGCTCCACGGCAGCTCTGGGGGCGGCACTTGGCTCTGTTCCCTGGTCTCGATTTGGTGTGGTTTTCACCTCCCTCATCTGGAATTAAATGTGCTAAAGGCATTAACTGTGTAAGTCATTTTAGCTACCGCTTATGTTTTGCCTATGGAAAACAGACTCACCAAAGACAATTCTGGACACATGAACTTTTTTTCTGACTAGTTGTAGCCTTTAGTAGCAGCTAGAAAACCTGAACAATGACATGCATTTCTCCTGGGTTTGTTTCTCGATCCTAGAAAACAGGCAGGAAGCACTCATCCTTCTGAATTTTGCGTCCTTGTGCCTGTCTGTCTGAATCTAAGTGTTGTGGGCAGAAATCAAGTGAAAAGACCACAGAGCAGGCCTGTGTCCATAAGGTGGCTTTTTGGACCCTTGTTAACATTCTTCCTCCACCCCTACATCCTCATAGCTTTGGGGAATACAACAGTCACTCTTTGGGCTTGGCATCATGTAGGTGCCCCAGCCGAGATTTGAGTAAGGCCTTGCCCTCCTGCCTGTAACTGATAGCTCTCACCTGGCACAGGCCGATTCCATGTGTTTGTAAATAAAGCCGTGTTGGGATGTGGCCAGGCCCATTGGTCCGTGCCAGCTTCCCCTGGGTGAGGGCTTTCCATGGCCCCAAACAGTAAACCCTTCACTCTGGCCCTTTGAAGAATTTGCCATGACTCCTGCCTTAAGGAGTGTCAGACACTGGAGAAAAGTGTAACTGTCTTCGTATAACTTTCTCCGGAAACTTTTTTAAATGTGAGCTAAACAAAAGCCCTTCAGTGCAGCTTGCATCTGGTTCTGATTAATATGCTCTCTGCTGTTTTCATATAAAAGATGGTCTTGACATTCGATGGGTGACGACCTTTTGTGAATTGTGCTAGTCGTTCCGATGCATTTTCACTTCTAGAAATCTTTTTCCTTGTGGAGACTCCATGGTGTGCATCATCGATGACCGAGAAGACGTGTGGAAGTTTGCCCCCAACCTGATAACTGTGAAGAAATACGTGTACTTCCAGGGCATAGGTGACATCAACGCCCCGTCCGGGTCCCGGGAGCCCCAGGCGAGGAGAGGTGGGTGTGGCCCCCGGCTGTCAGCGCCGGCTCTGGCCTGTCTCTGCTGTGGCTGCTGTTAATTCAGGATTCAGTCTGGTTTGGGTCATTTATTAATATTTCAGTAGTCATAGAGATTGTGTTGGGTTTATTTACATTATGCTGAAAAGCGTGGTATTATTTGGTTTCAGTTTGGGTTTTGTTTTTTTCTTTTACTGGTACCAGCCTAAACATTTTTCCCGTTGAGTAAAGATGAAAGAATACTATTTAATTTAATGCATCTGAATACTGCCTTTCATCCCGGCTTTCCTTGAAAGACAAGCATGACACTGGGAGTTTGGTGTGTGAGGCTCCAGCCCGTGGGTGGTTGGTGCCGGGCCCCAGCCCAGAGCCTGCGGGGAACCTCCCAGGCGAGCTGGAGCCCAGGGTCTGAAAACAATTTAAAGTTTTGGTTTAAAGGGTTTCTGATGATCTTTAGCTTTTAAATAATCCATTTTGAGGCATAGTTATTGCTGTAGTCACTAAAGTAGAACTTTGAGGTGTAGGCAGGGGAGTGAGACCCCAGGGCACCCTCGGGGCCGAGGCTGCACAGCACAGCTCAAGCTGGGCCCGATCTGACCACAGCCTGGGAACCAAGCATGTTCTGCACATCTCGTACCACTGTGGGACCCAAAACGAGGTGACCGGGTGAGGCCTGCAAACCTGAGATACTCACCCTCCAGCCCTTCCCGGCTGAGGGGGCCGCTCCCTGGCCAGAGGTGCCTGCAGCTAGCAGCTGGGCGCCGGTGGACGGAGTTTGCTTCCACGGGGGTTTCCTCTTCAGTGTTGGGCAGCGGTGGCCTCGTCTCGGGCACACGTGCAGTCAGCCCTTCTCCCAAAGGTGCCGACGCCACGGAGCGGCCTCCGTCCGGCAAGGATCCCGAGGAAGGAAGGCAGGTGTCTGGGGTCGAGCAGAGCAACGGCCTCGGGAAGCCCACGCGGGAGCTCAACGGGGGCGCAGGCCCTCGGGGGGGCTGGCCCTGTGCTGGGCAGGAGGAGGAGAGGGGCGCCCGGCCCGCCGCCTGCGCCCCCTCCGCTGACGGCCGGGGGCCCCTGGCGGGCACCCAGCAGCACGGGCGGACACCGCCGGGGAAGAGGCCCGTGCTGGGCCCGGTGGGCCCTGACCCGGACCCAGATGTCCCCAGCGACAGCGGCAGCAACAGCGAGTCCGAGGGCCGGCCGTCCCCCGGCCCCTCTGATGGGGAGAGTGCAGAGCAGAGGACCCGGAGAAAGCCTGCGGCCACCCGCCATGCTGGGGACACCGCGGCCCAGGGCGGCGCCCCGGGCGCCAGTCCGTGCCTGGAGCCCGGGCCCGGCGTCCAGGCTGCCGTGCAGGGGGAGGGCGAGCGGGACGGCCTCTGCGGGCTGGGCGGCGGCTGTGCCGACAGGAGGGAGGCCGAGACGGAGTCCCAGAACAGCGAGCAGTCAGGCATCACGGTGGGCGAGTCCCTGGACCAGAGCGCGGAGGAGGAGGAGGAGGAGGACGCCGACGCCGACGACCACCTGGTCCACCTGGAGGAGGTCCTCGCCCGCGTGCACGCTGCCTACTACGCCAGGTACGACCGCTTTCTCCGCGGGGAGGCCCAGGACGCCCCCGACATCCGGAAGATTGTCCCCGAGCTGCGCGGCAGGGTGCTGGCCGACGTCGCAATCATCTTCAGCGGGCTGCACCCCACGAACTTCCCCGTCGAGAAGACGCGGGAGCACTACCACGCCACAGCCCTGGGCGCCAGGATCCTCACCCAGCTGGTGCTGGAGCCCGGCAGCCCCGACCGGGCCACCCACCTGATCGCCGCGCGGGCCGGTGAGTCACGCCCTCCTGCCCCGGCCCCAACCGCCTCCGGTGGGGCTCTGGCTCCCCCTCGGAACCGGCTGCCTCCACGGTCTGCGCTGCGGGGGCACCCAGGTGTCGCTCCCCGAGGCCCCGGGCTCGAGGCTCTGGGGTGGGTGCCGACGTAGAGAAACAGGGCCCTTCAGGAGCCATCACACGGCGGGCCCTGCTCTGAGGGCTGTTCCCTCCAGGACCCCTGCTGTCCCCGCCGCCCCAAGCCCTGACGGCAGACCGGTGGCCCGCGGCGGCTCCGAGCAGAGTGCATGTGCCCGCAGGCACGGAGAAGGTGCGCCAGGCCCAGGATTCCGGGCAGCTGCACGTGGTCAACCCCGACTGGCTGTGGAGCTGCCTGGAGCGCTGGGACAAGGTGGAGGAGCGGCTGTTCCCGCTACGTGGTGACCCGGCCAAATCCCAGAGGTGGGCACCCGCAGGGGGCGGCTGGTGGCTCAGAGGGAGGGTCCGTGCTGGAGCCCACACGGCCGCTGCTCCCCCTCGGGAGACGCCACCGCCCCTGCCGCGCAGACTGTCACAAAGAGCACCTCTGACCAGTGTCACCTGGAGGGGAAGCGGAAGTGCTTCTCATAAGACACAAGTCAGCTTTAAGCAGCGAATCCTAGTTTGCGGCTGTTTCTTTCACAGCTGGGACATGGTCCCATCGAGTCACAGGGTTCTAACAGAGTCCAGCATGGCGGGAGGGGGTGGCCAGGACAAGGGATGGGTGCAGAGGGCCCGTGGGCAGAGCCAGGCGGCACGGACGGCGCACTGGCTCCATCAGAGCGGGTGCTGTGTTTAGAGGTGAAGCCGGAAACAGTGTCAGAGAGAGAGCGGTGCAGCCCGCGTTCTCCAGGGGGCCTTGTGTCCGCAGCCGAGGTCGAGCCCCAGGCTTAACGGGGAACCACGACTTCACACGCGGATGCACAGTCCCGGCGGGAGGGAGGTGCGGGGGTCCCGATCTGTTCCGGCCTCTCCTCACCGCCCTCCTTCTCGCCCCCCACCCCCTCCAGGGAGGACAGCCCGGCCGCCTTTCCCGACAGGCAGGGCCTGCTTCCAACCACTCTGTTGCATCCAACACCTGTGCATGCCAAGGCCCCCCCTGGCCCTGAAGTTCGGATCTACGACGCCAGCACGGGCAAGCTCCTCCGCAGGGGCGCTGCGGGCCCCGGGCCCCCCGGCTCCCTGCCTGTGCATGCGGAGCTCTCCTTCAGGTGCGCGCGCCCTGCACGCGAAGGTGTCCTCGCAGGGCTTAGCCGGCAGGCAGCCGAGTGGGGTGCCTGTGGGGTCGGCCCGGGGTCACAGGCCTCACCCGTGCCCACGTTGGGCCTTTCTGCATGTTCTTCCGTCCTGTCTCGGGTCCCGGGACTGGGGCAGACGAGTCTGTGGCTCGGCCTGGACCTGCACACGCCCCACCTTTGCTCAGTGCCAAGGGGTGGCCTCAGGCGGCTGGACCTGACCCTCCTGCCTTGCCCTTCGGGTCCGTCCCCGCTGCCACCCCCAGAAGGGCCAGTTGGGAGCAGCTCTGCTCTGTAGCCCCAGCCCTCAGGTCACAGGTCACACTGGTGGCCGTGGCAGTTGGTAAATAGGAACATAGAGACCCCGGTCGGGGAGGAAGGCACCGCCTGGAGGGAACGTGGCCAGTGGTTTCCACAGGTGTCTCCACGGGTGTCTGTTTCCTTTCTGCCTGTTGACTGGAAGTCAGCTGAGTTGGGGACCTTACAGAGCACCCTGTAAACACCTTAGCGCTCTGAGGTGTAAATGAGGGACCTGAGGCTTTGCTTTGTTTTTGAGGAGTGGGCACTGCTTTGAAACGCTTGTGCATCTGCTGGACGCACATGGTCTTGCTTCCGGGTCGCCTCCTTTCTGGAGCCCCGAGCCCATCCTGAGAGCCACCTTTGCTGTTAGCGGCCCACATGTGGCGGTGGATTTCTCCTGCTCTGGTGGCCTGGCAGGTCTGCGCTGACTGCGTGGCTCCACCAGAGTGCTCGCTACAGTGGGCAGGGCCTCACCCGATTCCCTACCCTCTGGCCTCGGCAACAGGCCGCAGGGGCCGACATGAGCCCGGTTGACGCCAGCAGAGTGGATGTTGATGAGGGGCCCCTGGAGGCCAGCGGGGTGTCCGTTGACCCTGCGGCTGGGCTCCAGATGTGGACAGACGCCCGGGGTTTAGACCAGTTTCAGTTGGGCTATTGGTTGGTGGATTATTTTGTTCTAAAAGCATCGTCGCTGATTAAGCTCTGATTTTCTTCTGACAACATGATATTTAATTCCTTGAGAAGATGCATTGTGATCTCTGTGCTGCCTATACTCCCATGGAGTTACTTTCCAGAAGCAGGGTCACTAGGTTAAAGGTCGTGGATGTCCTTGACTTTAATAGATGGGGGCAGTTGTTTGTTACTTTACCAAAGATTTTTTTGGGATTCGTGTCCCGCCCAGCAGGACCGGCCCCTCCCTCTCCTTCCTCCTTGATCTGTCTCAAGGCACACGGCCGCCCTCTCTCTCCGGTGAGGCCCAAAGTGGGCCTCCCACAGGCGATGACCTCAGGGGTGTGTCTGAGGGTGAGAGGTGCAGGGCAGGGGCGGCACCCCTCACGGAGACAGCGGGCCGCGAGTGGCCCCAGGCTTCACGGCATTGCGCACCGAAATATATCCCTGCACGGACAGCCTCTGAAATTCCGAATTCCTGTTCATTTACCCTTTGTTGTGTGCTATAAGTTGTGAACATTTTGTTTTCTTCAGTAAAGGTTTTATTTTGAGACAGTCGTAGACTCGCAGTTGTCAGAAATAATAGAGATCCCAGAGACTGTTAACCCGCTTCCCCCATTGGCGTCATCTCGCAGAACTGGCTGTAGGGTGCAGCCAGTCTCGAGCCGGGTCGCCAACACTGGCCCGGTCCAGACGTAGCATCCATCCCCACCAGGGCCCCCCGGCCCATCTCAGCCCTCCCAGCCCCACCCCCAAGCCTAACCCGGCCACCACTGGTCTGTCTCTGTCCCTGTACTCCCATCATCCCGAAAACACGGAGTAAGTGGAATCACACGGTGTGCTGCTCCACTCAGCACAGTTCCCTGGAGATTCTGCCCCGATGTGGCCATGTCCGCTGCTGAGGAGTGTTTCGTGGGAAGAGGTACCGCTGCTTCTGTGGCGTTCACCTGCCGAAGGTCATCTGGGGTGTGTCTAGCTCTGGAATGTTACTGATATGGCCGCTGCTGTTATAAACGTCTGTGTACGTCTCTGTTTCTCCTGAATTGGCGCCCAGGAGTGGGACTGCTGAGTTGTACAGTGAGTGTATTTAGTTTTACAAGAAGCCGTTCAGTTTTTTCTGCAGTGGTGGTACCTTTTACGTCCCCAGCAGTGGGTGGGGGACATTGTTTCTCTGCATCTGGTGCCCCCGTTTCCACTTGAGCCGCCCTGAGGGTGTGGGACGTGTGGTTTCGTGCTCACACTTTCTTTTGGCCCTTTGCCCCTGTGGAGTCTCCTCAGCGAGATATCCCGTCGCCTGCCCGTGCGTTCGAGGCCCTTAGGGTGTTTCGGGTCCTTGTCCTGCGTCAGTTGCGAGCCTTGTGGAAGCTTCTCGTGCTCTGGGGATGCCTTCCACCCTCTTAGCAGAGTCGTTGGCAGAACAGACGTTTCCCGTCTGTTGGGGGAGGTTCTCTGACTGGTTGTCTTTCTGTGAGTCATGCTTCCGTGTCAGGTCTGTGGACCCTGCCTGGCCTGGATCCTGGTAGTTTCACGTATTGTATTTAAGTCCGTGGTCCGTTTCGAGTGAGTTTTGGCCTAACGTGAGAGGTTTGAGGGTGGGGCCGTTTGTGGGCAAGGCCCTCTTTCCTCCGTGGGCTTGTTCTGTGCCTTTGTTGGACGCAGGGGACCGTATTCCTGTGGGTCCGTTCCTGGGTTCTCTGTCTCTTCCAGTGGTTGGTGGGCATTTTTGCCTTTTTCTTAGTCTGAGGGTGAAAGCGTTGAGCCTCTCACCGTCACATGTGGTGTCGGCTGTGAGTTTCTTTAGCTGCTCCTCCTTGGGTTCCTGTCTTCCCTGTGTTTCACCGTGAATGGCTGTTGAATTTCTGCATCGCTTTATCTGTGTTGACCTCAGGCTCACGCAGTTTTTCTTCTTTGGCCTGTTACTTGAGTCGTATTTCCCTTGTAACTGGAGTAGCATTTCGCTCACTGCTTTCAAGATTGTTTTTTTCCTTGTCTTGAATTGCAGATTTGATGGTGATGTGTCTTAATATGGATGTGGGCGCTTATCCTGTTGTGGATTCACTTAAGAGTCTCGAATCTGAAAGTTTCACGTCTTTTTTGCCAAATTTGGGGCATTGTTTCTGGCCATTATTCTTCGCGTGCTTTTTCAGCTCTGCATGTTTCTCCTCTCCTTCTGGGGCACCAGCAGTGACGTCGTGATCTGGACGCTCACTGTCGTCACGTGGGCCTGAGGCTGTGAGTGCTTTTCCTCTTCAGTCTGTCTCCTGTCCTTTACACGGAGTTACTTTCTAGGGTGTCTTCACATTCAGATGTCCTTCCCTCTGTCCCCTCCGGCGCGATACTGAGCCCACCTAATGCATGTTTTTGTTTGTTTTCTCTTCTAAAATTTCCATTTGGTTCTTCTTTTTATTTTCTATTTCGTTCCTGAGGCTCTTTGTTTCTTTCATTTATTTCAAGTGTGCTTGTAGTTGCTTATTGAAGCATTTCTTTTTACTGAGGACACTTTGGGATCTTTGTCAGACAGTTCTGTCATTTCTGTCACCTCAGTTGACATCTCCTGATTGTCCTTTTTCAGTCAGTTGGAGATCTTCCTGGCTCTTGGTGTGACAGGTGGTTTTCACTTGAAGCCTGGAGACAGGTCTCTTTCTGAGAGTCTGGACCTTGCTGAAACCTTCTGTTGAGCTGGCTTTCGCAGGCTGTGCTCCCACAGCAGAACTTATGAGACACCTCCTCACCCCTGCCGGGCAGGGGCAAAAAAAGTCCAGGGTCCCACTCGGCCTCCGCTGACGCCGGCCTGGGGGGTCACTGTTACTGCTGGGCAGCCTTGGCGCGGGGTCCTCGACAGTCTGGCGCCTCCCGCTTTTTGCAGGGGGGTGGGGGCTCCACTGACGCTGCAGCACGTCACGGAGCTGCTTAGACAATGTAGAACCAGGATCTCGGAGCAGGCAGAGCCCACACGCCCGACGGCGGAAGCGTGACCCGTAGAGAGGAAACTGATCAGGAGCTTCCTCCAAGTGAGAAGCCTCTGCTCTGCCAGCGACTGTGCCGCGGGCTCCGTGACGGCCCCGCGCTGTGGGGCGAGGGGAGGCAGCAGGCGGGCTTGCTGTCCAGTCCTGTGCTGGCGGCTGCGGCTGCTTGTGAGCCGGGCCTGCGCGTGGGCGTGTCCAGTTGCCGGTTCCCGGGATGAGCAGCGGGAAGCACCAGAGAAGCCACCGTGGGCCTGGGGCGCGGGCTGTGTGTGCGGAGCCGATTCAGAAGCCACAGGGAATCTGCTTGATGGCGTCTTGCAGCGACGGGAACGTCGCGGGGG